GAGCTGTGGAGAAAGGAGCTGTAGTGAGAGGAGCAGCAGTGAGAGGGGCAGCATTGGGAGGAGCTGTAGAGAGAGGAGCAGCAGTGAGAGGAGCTGTAGTGAGAAGTGAAGCAGTGAAAGGAGCTGTAGAGAGAGGAGCAGTGAGAGGAGCAGCAGTGAGATGAGAAGGGATTGGGAGGAGCAGCAGTGAATAGGAGACACAGCGGCGATGGCTGGAATTACAATGAGGACTCTATCTCCCCTCTAGGTGTCGGAGGTGATGGTGGGGGTGCTCGTGATCTGCTTCGCTGCCCCCCTCATGGCCGGCGATGTGACAGAGGTGCTGAACTTCGGCGTGCCCTGGTGGAGTGGGGTCATGGTATGATGAACACCTCGATACTCAGCCCCCAGGAACAGGCAGACATTATCTGGGTTGATCCTTGAGGGCCAAACCCACCTTCCTTCATTTCCTGGTGCAATGAGAGATCCTTAAAGACTTTTCCCTGAACACGTCTTCTCCTAGTCGACCGCTTATGGAATGAAATTGGTACCAGAGCCCTTTAGATGCCACAAAGCCCTTTGTTTGCAAGGATCTGCTCAGTTGAGTACACAGAGCCCCTGATGCAGGTCTCTTCACGCACTACAAGTCCCATAATGCCCCGCCCATACACTACAATTCCCACTGTGCACCTCTCTCAGTGAGGCACTGCATCGCAGTGTTTTAAATGCCTTTTCTCATGTAGTGGCGGCATGGTGGCGCACTGTTTAGCATTGCAGCCTTGCAGAGCTGGGGCCCTGGGGTCGAGTCTGGACCTGGGGTGCTATTTGCATGGAGTTTGTAGGTTTTCCTTGTGTTTGCGTGGGGTTCTTCCCACGGTCCAAAGGCCTAGTGGCAGGTTAATTGCTTCTGGGGAAAACTGCCCCTGGTGTGAGCCAGTGTGTGTACCCTGCCTTGTGCCCCTGGCTCCCCTGCAGCCCTGGACCGGATGAAGCAGATAGAAAATGGATGGGTGGATTTCTCATGTAACTGCTGACATTTTGACATGTGTTGTTTTTTATTTGTACAGTTCATCGTTTCAGGAGCTGTGGCTATAGTGACGGAGAAGCACACTACTCTCTTGGCTGTGAGTTTGTGTGTTTATGCATGGAAGAGCATTTAAAACAGAGAACAGGAGACACTTCTTTACACAAAGGGTGGTGGGAGTGTGGAACAGGCTGTCCAGCTGTGTTGTTGAAGCCAAAACGCTGGTTTCTTTCAAGACACAGCTGGATGAGATGCTCAGATCAATGAGTTAATAACGATCAAACGGGCTGGATGGGCTGGCAGACCTCATGTGTGTGATCGTGTGTTCTTCCTAGCACTGTGCTTGTCTGCACACATCACCCTCACGAGACAGGAGGTAACAGTATCAGAAGGCGGCTGACCCGGTGTTGGTTCTGGGGTCGTTGAGGGCCGTGTCCGGGGTGTTTCCGGGGTGTGTCCAGGCCGCGGGGGGCACTGACGCACTGTGTGTGTGTTCCAGGTGCAAGTGTGCCTGGCTGCCACCGCCCTGGCCGCGGTCGTGTCCCTGGTGGCCGTGATCATCTACTTCGTGGATCTGTTCAGCAACCCGGAGACGGGCTGCACATCCGACTCCGAGGAGACGGGAGACTGCAATGGTCACCAGCAGTTCGCCACGGTCAGACTGACGTGTGCTGTCCTGTGCGTGACTGTCCTGTGTATCTGTGCGTGACTGTCCTGTGTGTGACTGTACTGTACGTGACTGCAGTGTGACTGTACTGTGTGAGACTGTACTGTGTGTGACTGCAGTGTGACTGTACTGTGCGTGACTGCAGTGTGACTGTACTGTGTGTGACTGCAGTGT